GTAAAAGTTTCAGCAAGTGTTTAGATGTCTATTTTTGTTCAATTCATAAACATATAATAAAAAATTGTGATAGAAAATATGACTTATAATAATTGCATGCACAACATGAGAATATTGTGTAATAATTACAATATACAAAGGGCAATTCACCTCATAGACTTTTGGTGAACCAGACTTCAACAAACAGAAACCGATAAAGTTTCCTTTTAACTTGTAACATGATAAGTATACACTGTGGGTTTTTTTCTTTGCATATTAAGATGACTTCATTTTAACATTGCTAAAAAGGTGCCAATATGTTTCAAGATCAAGATTTAGGAGGGAGTGATCTCAAGCCAGATCGATCGATCTGGTTTCATATCAGCGAACTATGAAAACCAGAGTACAAGCATTGTATTGCTGCATGAAATAAATGTTATTATCCTAGATAGCGAACTCCAGAAGTTGAACGTATTACTAGCTGACTCTTTGATTGAAGTAGCATGGGGCAATTGGAATCCCACGTGAATCAACAGTGACCACCTAACAATAGAGTACTGCGAGGGGAAGGTAAAAAGAACCCCTTATTTCAGAAGTGAAATAGAATATGCAATGTGAGTTCGCAAGCTATGAGAGGAGAATGGGATCTTCAACTGCATACTTCTTGTAGAATGAGCTGGCATTTCACAGCAATGATTTGTTTAAGGAATCCACCAGAGCAATAGCGAAAGCAAGTCTTCATTCTTCATGGTACCATCATTATTGCTTATGGACCTGAACTAGGTGACCTGTCCATGGCCATGATGAAACTTGGACAAGCTTGAGGCATCTAACCTAGACAACACCCCTAAACTACCTCTCAGTGATAAAGGTAGAGTGATGCGTAGACAGCCAAGAGATTTTCATTGAAGCAACTACCCTCAAAGGAGATAATATTAGCGGACCTACCCCCAAGCTAGGGTAGGTAGGTGCGGAAGTAAAATCAATCCTTGTTCATACATGGGTTCCTCTTGTACAAAATGAACCACTTCAAATAGGTTCATTGCCCACCCACTAATTGAGTTCTCTTTGCTCTGAGGATGAACGAAACTGTATCATATGCTGAAGCTGTGGGATTTAAGTGTATTGATAGTGGATTTTTCCAACCTTCGGCGTAGCACTCACATAAGCCACATGAAGCACAAATGTCAGCTTGAGTAAAACACAGGTGAGAATCCAATTCCCAAAAAATCTATAACCACCCTTGCAAGCATGCGTAGTAGCTCACTGTTTGAGCACTCTTGCATATGAATGAGGCTTAGAAATCTGCTAAAGCTGTGGGATTTACTAGCATCAGAATTATTATTACTTTTCTTTACAACGATGAAGGAAAATTCCTACACATGCAATTAAGCTATTGTAGATGTAAAATATGGAGACATACACGAGATACTATGGATTCAAACATACTCTCTGTATATTGTGATGGAATTGTGCTTAGCTATTCATTTATCTTAATGCTGCATTTGTAACAGGATTAAGCATCTTTATGTGGTTTATCTTGATTCCCTGAATAAAATACCTTGTCTTAGTTTTAGTTCTTGGACTGTTGGGTGGCTGTTCCTCAAACATTTTGTGGTTCCATAAATTTGAATTTTTGTATTTCATATCTCCAACATGCCCACCAATTCCTTCCTTATTAACTCAAAATGTAGGTCATAGAACACAAGCCCTATGATCACAAAGCTGATGTTTTTAGCTTCGGAATTGTACTGTGGGAGCTTCTTACAGCTAAGGTAACTTCAACATGTGTGGTATAAACTTTTATTTGTTCGCCTTGTCCAAATTTAAAATATTTATGAAGTTTATTGTGTATATTCTGTGTCTCTGTCCAGCTCCCATATGAAAACTTGACTCCACTCCAAGCAGCAGTTGGCGTGGTTCAAAAGGTATGCTCGTCTGCAATTTCACTTGCATGGCCAAAATAATGTATCTACGGTACTCATACATAAGAAGCATTGAATTCGTCATGTATCCTTTTTCTTTCACCACAAATATATTATTAACGTACTACAGAAAAAAAGAAGGTATACTATTAAGGCATCATGCCACCACTGCCAACTTTTACGATTAAAGTTTTGGCTTTAATTTTGTGATATCAACCATGTGATTTGCTGTAGAAACAGTCCTCTCTTCGGTTGAAGCATTTAATATTAGACACTTGGTTGAAACCAAGGTTTAGGTGCCGAAACTGGCTGGTGGTTGGATCAATATGGTACCAGTCCAAATCAATGTACTGACTCAAGACTGATCAGTATCCTCCTAGATCAAAGAGAGAGGGAATTGAACAGTAAACTTTCCATCTGGTACAATTCAGTTTTGATCTATTTACCACCCTATAAATCCTGTATGGTAAACTTACCCGGAAGGTACAAACCATATGAGACCAAGCTAGATGAAATAATTTGATCTAGATTGACTCTTGCTGTAAGTACCGCCCTGCAGCGACCGGTATAAATGATACATTAAATCTTGGTTGAAACAATAAAAAAAAATCTCTTCGCTCTTCTCCTGAAGGGCATAAATTATGTATTCCTATGAAACACATACATGGGAGCACAATACTATCTGATACATATGCATTCCCTTATATGAGGAATCTTGAAAAGAGCAGGGTGCAATAGGACGACTGTATGATTAATCCATCTTATTAGGAATTGTACTTGTAACTTTCATTAGGTTTGAAGAAATAATCACATGAACTCCATAGCTTGTTTGAAAGTGCAAGTGCTAATTTTATGACAAAACTTCAAATATGTATAAAGAAATAAAAGCTTATTTAAGGAAAAAAAAATTAGAAAGTACCATTCACATAGGTGTATCCTTTTATTTTTACCAGAAAACAATAGTCATAACCCCTTTGTTCCCCTTTCACACGAAAGATTTTTCCTTCACTATATATCACTCAACAAACAGTTGCTCGCAAAATTCCAGATAAGGCTCTTTATGTGTTTCAGTCAGTGTGGAGAATACAAGTGATGTGTTCAGAAGCGTTTCATTAGTAATTTCTAATCAAAACACTAAAATTAATTGCAAAGCTGCTTAGGCATTTTCTTAAAGGAAAAGTACCCTAAGAATTGCATCTTTATATCAGTACCAAACCTTCATGTATATATGTCCATCTATGAAATTATGATATATATAATCATATTTTTGGAAAACTAGTCATCACTGTATGTCATGTTTCTTTACATTGTTGCAGCAACAGGTAGCACATGTGGTTCCTTTTCCTTTTTTTCTTTACAGGGCTTGAGACCTACCATCCCAAAGAATGCTCACCCAAAGCTTGCTGAGCTGATGGAGAACTGTTGGCAGCAAGATCCAACTGACAGGCCTGATTTCTCAGAAATACTACAGATACTACAACTTATTGCTAAAGAGGTTTACCATCAAACACTGAATCTGTGTGCCTAAATTTCCTACCTCATCCTCAAAAAAGTTTTCGGTTAATCGGATTTGAACTGTCGAACAGGTGGGAGATGAATCCGACGATTGGCTCATGGAATATCCATCAGGTTGGTTTCTCTCCATTCTTAGATCGTGGCCGCTAAATCTTTACCGTTGTCTATGAATTGATAAACAATGGCATCATTGATAGCGGTAGTAAATAAACTAAAACTGTACAGTGTATAATTTGTATTGTATTCCTCTCTGGTTCTTAATTATAGAGGTGCAATTCTTTTTCTTAGACTTACCTGTATGTGTTTTGTTCTTTGTTAGTATGTGATGCATAGGACTGATACATATTTTGCCTCCGTTGTTGCATATTTAACCTTCTATACCTTCACATCTCTCTGCTTGTTCTTAAGTATTGGTTTTCTTTTGGTGTTTATATCGAGTGTTAGCTATATATATATATAGGAATTTTATGATAATTTAGATTTTTTGGAAGTTATTAGTCTATTAAATTTTCTTTTGGAAGAACATATATGTGATTTTTCTAATAACATATATACTACTACTACAATAACAAAATTGTAATATCATTGCTGTGGGGAGAGTACCGTCGATCTTGGGCGACTTCGGGGTGATCTTCGGGTGGAGTACAAGTTCGAGTGTTCGAGGTGGGCCCAAGGTTGGGCCTAAGTGGAATCTGGCTCGTCGTTGGGTTTTTGCACAAAGGTCAATGGTAGAGGGTGCTTTCTGATCCGACCCCTTCAACACTCAAATTAGCTTTGGGGTGATATGTAGTATAAAGGGGTTATTGTCAAGGATATCTGACCCTTGGGCTGATGTCGGGGGTTGGCTTTTATAATTGTCTAGTCGAGGGAATCATTTGTAATGGCTATAATGCCATCCCTCTAGCGTTCCGTCCATGGGAGCGGTAGGCCTGTAGCGATCGTAATGCCTTACCCCTAGTGTTTTGTTCACGGGGGTCGATCGAGGGGAGGTAGACTTGAATGGTCGCTCGTACATCGCTGTCCATGGAGATTGACTTTGTCGGTCCAAGTGGCCTCTTGTGAATTGTCATCCATGGGGATTGACAGGTAGTAATTGTATCCATGTCACTATCCTATATGGGGTGACTTGACTTACGTTTTTCATGTTATCGCCCTCATGTGACCAACTGGCAAGATGAGATTCATTGTCAGAATACTTTTTATAAATCGTTAAAATTGATCTCAAATTTTCTATAAATCATTAAAATCGATCTCAAATTCGGATGAAAAAGATTATGTTAGAGGTAAGTGTAAAATTACGTCAAATTTAATTTATATGGGTTAAATTCCATAAATTTAGATCTTTTACTAACATATGTTTAATATTAAAACCTAGAAGGCATATATATACTTATCATGTGTGTAAGACCCTTAAATAAATAATAATAATAATAATACAGGACACTTCTTAGCCATCTAATATGGTGAATTGTGGCCACCATCCTGCAACGTAGGAGACGACGTGCGCTATTCCTCACTCTTCACAGCTCCCCCGCATCATCCTCATCTCACTCTTCAAGATAAATAGGCACGAATCCCCACCAGAATTCCTTCTTCTTGAGAGAGAGAGAGAGAGAGCGAGAGATGGGGAGCGTGAAGGTGTACGGGCCGGCCATGTCGACGGCCGTGTCGAGAGTCATGGCTTGCCTCCTAGAGAAGGAGATGCCCTTCCAACTCCTCCCTATCCACCTCCCCAAAGCCCAACACAAGTCTCCTGACTTCCTCAAGCTCCAGGTTTCTTCTTCTCTCCCTTCTCTCTCTCTCTCTACACATCTCTTCTCTTCTCTTTCGACTGCGTGATAACAATGCTTTCTCTTCCTCCCCCTGCAACAGCCATTCGGCCAAGTGCCAGCCTTCCAAGACGGCGACGGCACCACCCTTTTCGGTCGGTGAACGCTCCTCTTCGCTTGCTCATACATCCAATCCCTTTTCATCCGTAGTTGTAAGCCTAACCCGTCACCTGCCTTCATCGCAGAGTCGCGGGCCATCTGTCGTTACATCTGCGACAAGTTCGCCGGCCAAGGCAACCGGTCGTTGCTCGGCCGAGAAGGCGGCGGTGCCGCCGACCGGGCGCGCGTGGACCAGTGGGTGGAGGCCGAGG